AGATATTTCCTGATCATTCCATATAAAGTGAACATGTTATATACGGTTGCGTAGCCCTTCCTAAATCCAGTTTGATTTTCGTATATGATATTGTTATCGGATGTCCACTGTTGTAATCTTTCGTTCAATATTTTTGTGAAGACTTTTATTGATAAAAGGGAAATACCTCTATAGTTGTTTACGTCATTCAATGATCCCTTCTTGTGGAGAGGACATATTATAGCTTTACACCACTCGTCAGGAAAATTTCCAGTTACAAGAATCTTGTTGAAGAGATTGTAAAAGAACAGGCGATATGACATCAACAGAATGAAGTAATATTTCTGATGATATACCATCACATCCCGGCGACTTGTTCCGCTTTAATTCTCCAATTGTTCTAGTTACCTCAGACAAAGTTATAAGTGCATTTAGGAAATAAGGTGTCTTAGAGATAAGACATTATTTACCGTATCTTCAATTGTTGTATCTTTTCGTTCACTATTTAATAAACTTTGAAAATGAATCAGCCAATCATGTATCATAGGCAGTTTGGCAGGGTATATAGGTTTTAACAGGGAGTCTATATGTTTTAACAGGGAGTGTATATACGTTTTATATATTCCCTTAATTAAGTAAGTTGATTATATCTATTTAAATAAACAGAGTGCTGCCAATACAAATTATAACAGCAGCTGGGGTATCATTACCATGGCCAGCAGCACAGAGTCATGTGCGGGTCAGCGGGTTGTAGTTAATGCCAGAGAATGGCCGGTTGGCCACTGAAGCTTAACTTTGTGGATGAGGTGCGGGATACTGCAGGCTGACCATGTATGTAACGTAACACGAGACATTGCAGTCTGACAGTGAGGGTTAAAGATAGTACGCTTTCTGTTAGTCGGGACTTGACCCTCGGACAGCGGCTAGGCAGGTTGGCCCTCTTACGCCTCAGAGATCCTGCTTGGCCATACTACTATGTAGTTATATAGACATATTAAGATCACGAATAAACGTTGTTGGTCCCACAGACGGACTTGTGTGTTGTCATAAGAGAATTATCCGGTAGAGAACCAACGTCTACCTAGGATATATTGGTGGAGCTTCGATCCTCGGTACCTCAAACCCAATGCAACAAGCTAAAGAAGTTTGTCAACACAAAGTGAATCGTTATTTCGTCTGGGGTCCACAACAATCACGACAACAACCAACAACCAGCATTTTGGTTCGTCTATCCTCAAGCTATTCTGTGCTCATCATTATTGTCATCATTGTTCTTACTCGGAGATATTGTTACCATCCTAAAAGGCCAACCCCTTAAGCCGTCCCGGGGACCAGCAACATTTCCAGGATACAACAGAAAAAGAACCCAGGATTCCTTGTTTCGTCACAACCCTCCCTCAACCATCAAGAGGTGATTTCGAAGACTGACATTTTCATCGACGACCACTGTGTTAACAACATCAAGTTCCATTTAACCAAGACATTTGTTTCATTCCGGTAATTCCTGTGTGTTTGTGCCAGCCACTATCTCAAAAGAAACAGTCCTCAAAGGCATTGTGATTTGCAGTGAATATTTGTTGTAATTAATGTGCTATAGCCCTTCATATTTGTGACATTCGTAGGAACAGTTTTGGTAAGCATTATTTCATATATTGTATTACAATCAACAAGAATGACTTTTTACGCTCTGAAACCCCTCAATGCCAATGAACGTCTTCCCCTATCCTCCCCCGAAGTCTTGAGTCCTCCCATAGTATACCAGTCCTTACAGTCTAGAAATGGTTCAACCCAACAAGAAACTATTTTCACTCCCCGATGGGAAACCTTGTATGCAACCGGGTCACCACGACCTCGTTCACCACAGCTTCAACACCCCAAGGACCCCCAACAAACTCCCCCATCTTACTTGCCTCCTCCATCACAGTGTACCTCCCTCTCCTCACCACCCCCCTCCCAATCTGAAATACCTCAAACATGTCAGCTGACCAATCGCCCGAGACCCCACGCTGATAATCCTTCGTCCACTGATGATCGCACCTCTTTATTAAGACTCATTAACTGCTCCCGCCTCCCGCTCTCAATGTATGATGGCAAGGATTCCATTGCTGCTGTTTCATGGCTGAAACGCTTTGAAAACTTTGCTTCAGTACAAAAGTATTCTGAAGAAGACCAAACAAAAATATTCCCCCTTTATTTAACTGATCTCGCAGCTGAATGGTACGATGGTATCAACAATATTTCACTTATGTCTTGGTCTGAGTTGAGACAAGCCTTTTTACGGAGATATGCACCTTCCGCAGTAGGTCTTGTAACTCGACAAAATGATTTATTGGACAGAAAACAGAGGGAAGGTGAACCTTTCCGATCTTTCCTCCAGTCCATAAGACATGAGGCAGAGCTTCTACAAAGAAATGAAGACATGTACATCAAAGATCTTATTCTCCGTAATGCTCTTCTCAATATCCGCATGTTCATCCTGACACGCCCCCTCACCTCCTTAGAACAGGTCACAGATAGTGCGGAGATAGCCGAGGCCATGTCAGGGTGGACTGACTCCAGATCTGATGAAACCATGACCGCTATAAATGAACTCACAGTTAAAGTCAATACTCTCAACACCCATCATGTCAATGCAATAGGATCAGATATTGGGCCAAAGAAAGAGCATTCATGTCAGTCAGGATCCATTCCATCACCATATCCCCAAGCACAACATGTGATCCACGGGTCTCAGTCCCCAACTCATCAACCCAGGTCATCACAATACCGACCTTGCATGTATAATCAAGGACCCCAATCTGTGCCCTTTAACGACTCCATGGGATTCCAATGTGAAGATAACGCTCGTTCTCTTGACCAGTTCATGTGGTATCATCAAAACCTCTTGCTACGACGTCTTAGTATTGCTCATATTTTCACCACCCTCATTTTGACCATGTACCCTTTTGTAAACCTGGTGCTAACGAAACTCAACCCATACCTATCAACAGTCTATTAACGCTCATAGGATTTAATGTTCTTCTATTAAAGTGTACCCTTGGTGCGAGTGTGTGACAATGATGTCGATTTGTTGAAGTTCATTACATCATTAAAAACAGTGTATTTTATGCAAGATGTCTGGTTTTTACGTTATATATGGATTATGACTGTGGAATAGTGCATCATTTTGTGAGTGTTCAAATATCATTATGTAATATTCACATGTCTACTAGCCATTAACAGGTGTTCAGACGTATCATCTTTCATTATCTTTCATTTGGTGTTCCTTAGTAACTGCTCTTACCCATTATAGGCCCTTTGCTAGCGGGGGTTGGAAATGTGTAGTTACGATTATCTGTCCCTATGTGATTCTTAATACATCATTGAAAATGAATGCATATATATTCCCTATGTGAGCTGTTGTCTATTTATGAAAAATGTCAATCCTGTTTGAAGTATAAATGTGTGTTGAAAGTAGGTTTAGAATTGGCTTGTCTTATGTACTGTAAAGTGGAGAGAGAGAGAGAGAGAGAGAGAGAGAGAGAGAGTGAAAGAGTAAGATAGCTGCTGATAGGATAAATGAACAAAGAGATGACAGAATACAAAAGAAAAACTGACATGTATAGATATGGTAGATAGGGTGGGTCCGAGAGAGAGAGAGAGAGAGAGAGAGAGAGAGAGGGGGGGGGTGTAGTGTGGGTGCGAGAGAGAGAGAGAGGGAGGGAGAGAGAGAAAGGAAAGGAGAGAGAGAGAAACAGAGAGTGAGAGGGTATAGCGTGGGTGCGAAACAGAGACAGAGAGAGGTGAAGTGTAGGCGCGAGAGAAGAACAGATGTAGAATTGGGTGAATGAAGTGTTTGTCCACATGGGAATTATGAACTGACAAGAAAAATAGAATGAAAGAAAGTGAGTGAAGCAGAGCATACGTGAAAGCGTTATTTGTGAGGAGTGGAAATAACGAGAAGATGGAATAAGAACAAGACAGAACAACCGCTGTTATAGTCATCAATGTCTTTGTTCATTTTTTTTCATTGTACATATTCATGTATTGGTATATTTGTAAACGTGTAACTTCCTTGTCTGTATGGATAGCAATGCACCGATGTAACCACTGTATTCATTGTACGTATGTAGTCATATTGTCGTTACTGGAAATATTTCTGTGTGAAATTGTATCCAGTTCGACAGCAGTGTTTGTAGATAAAAAAAATCGTGGTCCACACACAAAATGCTGTACATTACATCAAATTCTCAGTTTAAATTTTGTCCAGTTAAAAAAAGAAAGAAAATTGCTTTATGTACTTTTTGCTTGTTTATACATTTCATATTGTTTTAAATATGTGGTTATATTGATAGATTGTCCACCGTACCTCATTCCCAATTCCTTATAAGGACGTGGGACACGTCCTTCTTTACAGAAATGGCATATATCATAGGCAGTTTGGCAGGGTATATAGGTTTTAACAGGGAGTCTATATGTTTTAACAGGGAGTGTATATACGTTTTATATATTCCCTTAATTAAGTAAGTTGATTATATCTATTTAAATAAACAGAGTGCTGCCAATACAAATTATAACAGCAGCTGGGGTATCATTACCATGGCCAGCAGCACAGAGTCATGTGCGGGTCAGCGGGTTGTAGTTAATGCCAGAGAATTGATAAATTGAACGAAACATACCTGGAAGTTGAAGTTTGATTGAGATTCTCCGAGGCACCAGGGAACAAGTGAGACCACGTGAGATTGCGCGTGAGGAATCGGCTTCAGTCTTTAACGTGTACTGTGGACTAGAACTAGAATTGATAACTAGCCAGGGAGGGAGGGTGTGGCACGTGGTCTCACTTGTTCCCTGGTGCCTCGGAGAATCTCAATCAAACTTCAACTTCCAGGTAAGTTTCGTTTAATTTATCAATTCTCCTTCAGCACCAGGTCACGTGAGACCCCGTGAGATTTAAAAGCAGGTCCACAGTACACAAAAGATAAACCAGAACAATTCTTTTTATAAACATCATGTTTAATCAGAATACTGATTCAAACCACCAATCAACCCTGCAGGGATATAATGTGAGCAATTCTGAACTAAATAGCAAGAAACAATACTAAATGCTAAATACTAAACACACATGAATCATCATTGTTGTCATAATCATTCTGAGATTTCAGACGTTGAGCTCATTGAGCTCAATACCGCTGACCCAAAGGAACCATCATGTTTCACAGGCTTACAATACAATTTTGTAAACACATTCTCAGAAGACAATCCAGCAGCTGCCATGATTGTTTGGATGGGTGTACCTTGACTACTGGCTGCACTGGTAGCAGCTGCCCTAGTGCTATGTCCTGAAAACACAGTAATGTCAATACCAGCCATTGCTAGGGTGTTCTTTAACCATCTTGACACAGTCTCTCTTGTGACCGGCTTATGAGGCCTTAAGTGACTCAACAGCAGTTGGTCATGGACACTATCTGTCCGGTATGCACTAGTCCTCTCTAAGTAGGATTTGAGACAACTCACCACACACAGTCTCTCATTCTCAAATCTCTCTAATTCTATAGGTTTCAAATGACTACCTGGTCTAGACTGCTTAACTAAATCAGTGAGAACAAAAAGTACTTTGTTGTTTGATTCTGACATATTTTTCAATTTGAGCAAATGTAATGACTGAGCTCTTTGACCAGAAACCAATGCTAATAACATATTCAATTTCAACGTCAAATCTTTGAGTGAGAGCTCAGAAGTTTCTCCCAGTCTATCCAAGTAAACAAGTACCGTACCAACATCCCATGTTTGATGGTACTTTGGCAGTGATGGGCGAGTGTTATAGACACCGCGTAAGAACCTCTTTATGATAGGGTGCTGACCAATTGGGAGACCAGATGGTAAGGTCAATATGGAGGACAAAGCACTGCGTGCTGTATTTATAGCGCTATAACCAACACCTGAATCATACAATTCTGTCAAGAACTTAATACATACAACTGGAGAGGGATCTAAGGGGTCACTGTTAGTTTTAACACAGAAAATGTTCCATTTATCCAGATAGGATCTGTACTGATGCCTCGTTGCCTTCCGCCAAGAATTCATAATAATGCAAACGGAGCTCTCAGGGAGCCCCATGCCCTGGAGACCTTGCCGGACAAATGGCAAACTAGAAGTAACATATTGTTGTGCAGGGGGTGTACTTTGTTGGGATTGTAAGGAAGTACCAGAGTCTGTCTGCCTCTGGGAAGTGCTCTTGGTGGGGAGACACACATCTTCAGTGCTGCAGGAAACCAGCTTTGGGTGGGCCAGTAGGGAAGAACAACAAGGCCTTCCGCTTGATCTGTTCTGATCTTCTGAACAAGTCGCTCCAGGACACTGAATGGGGGAAAGGCATAGAATGTATACTGAGCCCAGTCATACATAAAAGCATCAATTGCATAAGCTTCAGGATCTGGACGCCAAGAAAAGTACTTATCTATTTGCTTATTCAAACGAGAAGCAAACAAATCCACGCAGGGATTGAAAAACTGGCTAGTTAGCTTATGAAAAAGATTCTTATTCAACATCCATTCAGTCTCATCATGAAATACTCTACTCTCAGTATCTGCTTCAACATTTAAGGAGCCTGGTAAGTGCACTGCAGAAAACCACATATCATGTAACATGGCATGGAGCCATATGTCTCTTGCAACCCCACAACACAGGCGAGATTTAGTGCCTCCCATATGATTTATGTAGGCCACTGCCGTAGGATTGTCAATTCGAAGTCGCACATGATGACCTGCCAATTTGTCAGTGAAGCACTTGAGACCTAACAGCACAGCTTTAAGTTCAAGATAATTAATATTACCCACAAACTGCGCTTCATCGGTAGACCATCTACCTCCTGTCTTCTCACTGCAATTATCAAACACGGCACCCCACCCCAAAGCAGATGCATCTGTGGTAAGTGTATGGAAAGGGGAGAGACGGCTAACAGGAGCACAGCTGCCTCGAATGTTATCTGCCCACCACTTTAGGTCTGCTCTGCTAGAGTCTGATAGAGTCATGTTAGCTTCAAATTTTCCCAATGAAGATTTGAGGGCAATGTTCTTTTCCATTTCTAACTGCTTAGTGAACAACAGTCCAAAAGGCACAGCAATTGCATATGAAACCATGATGCCTATAATTTCAGCCACTTGTCTGATGGAAATCGCTTTATGCTTGCATATGTTCTTGTATTTCTCCAAATACTTCTCTATCTTCTTATCAGTGAGTGTAATAGTCATTGTTTTTGAATTCAGAATAAAACCCAAAAACACAAGAGAGCGAGTTGGGTCCAACACAGATTTCTCAAGGTTCACAACAAAGCCCAATCTCTCCAACCTAACTTTTGTGCTAATGATATTGTCTACACATCTTGAATAGTTCTCACCCTGAAGATAGGAATCATCAATATATGCAACATATAAATACCCCTCCTGGCGCAGATTGCTATACAGAGGTTTTAACAATTTTGTGAACACTCTGGGTGCTGGAGATAAGCCGAAGGGCAAACATGTGTATTCATATCTAACACCCTTCCATATGAATCTGAGAAACTTCCGGTGGTCAGGATGAATGTTTACAGTATAATAGGCATCCTTGAGATCTATGGAGCCCATGTAACAGTCCTGAGTCATGAGTCGCATTGCAGACAGCAAATGCTCCATCTTGAAATGGGCTTTTTGAACAGAGTTGTTAAACTGTTTTAGGTTCAAAATAACCCTGTAAGATCCATTGGGTTTAGGTACTAAAAACACAGTACTGATAAATTCTCCCAAACAAGGCTCGGCTACAACTAACACTCCCTTCTGAACCATTTTTTGTATTTCGCTATCTAAGTAGTGACTTTCAAATTTGTTCAGTTTTGTTTCACGGAACTGGTACTGACAGGGTTGTTCACAAAATTCAATCTTGTAGCCCTGAATGGTCTGCAAAATATGCTTATCACTTGTCAGTGCTTGCCATTCACTGGAGAAATTCTTTAGTCTACCAGCAATAAGATCAAGATTTGTGGTGTTAGGCATGTTAGAAGCCTTAGTGCTCACCTCTTCACTGTTTAGAACTTGAAATGCCTCTTCCCTCGAGGTTGTCCTCTGGCATTGTGGTAGAACGGCAGCCGAGGAGACTGCTGGTTTACACCTAAAAAACGACCTCCACGGCCTCGAGGTCGGAAGTTGCCTCTGGTCATCTTCAGGGGGTTGAACCGGTAATTAGGGGCCACATTGTTGTGCGGGATACTGCAGGCTGACCATCTATGTAACGTAACACGATACATTGCAGTCTGACAGTGAGGGTTAAAGATAGTACGCTTTCTGTTAGTCGGGACTTGACCCTCGGACAGCGGCTAGGCAGGTTGGCCCTCTTACGCCTCAGAGATCCTGCTTGGCCATACTACTATGTAGTTATATAGACATATTAAGATCACGAATAAACGTTGTGGACCCACAGACGGACTTGTGTGTTGTCATAAGAGAAATATCCGGTAGAGCACAAACGTCTACCTAGGATACATGTGAAGTTATTTTGTTATTAGGTTTTGAAGTTGTTAGCTTCTTCAGTTCCTTCCAGAGATCGCCAGTATTGTGTTTAACTGAGATGAGATTGTCCGATACACTTCTTTTAAAATCTTCTTTTTTCTTTCGGCAAACATCTCTGAAAAGATATTTTAATCTTTGATAATCTTGAATATCTTGGTGAAGATTGGTTATCCTGAGTTTATCAAGAGCTAGATATTTTTCTTGTTTTGCTGTCTCACAGTCACTATCCCATCATTGGGGTTGAGTCCTCATCTGCTGATCACGTGACGTTTGTCGTCTGCTCATGCATTCAGCAGCTCTACCGTAGAAGTCGTTAATTAATAGTACAGCCTCTTCTATGTTGTTTTCAGCTTGATTTACAATCTCCGCAATTAATTCCGCTGCAGTTTCATCTCTGATTAGTCTCTGGAACGTGTCAGAATATCTAGAATCCCATTTATATTTGGTGTAAGATATTCATTTTCCATACTAGCTTGCTGTTTTGCTACAAATTCACCTATGGCTGGAAAATGATCTGAATCATCCAAGATACCAATCTTGAAAGCATTTATCACTGGAAATGAAGATGAACTAACAATCAAATAATCTACAACACTTTGCCCATTTCTTGAAACACATGTAAATTCACCGTCTCGTCTCAACGTCCCCGCACACAGTCACAGCCAACATCGCTATCACGAAAAGCGTGGCCACTGACACCGACACACACAATGTGTTAGTTCAAACTTTACGCTTGGTTTTCGTCTCGAAAAAGTTCCTATCTTTACTCTCCAGGTATTGATATCTACCCCCATACCTTTCGGAGTGCTTTGCTTTCTTGTTTTGTGAAAATAAAGATCCACGATGTTCGGGAAAGGGAAAGAAGCGCAGAGTGATGACAGAAAACAGAATGCTTTGCCGGGCTGTAGATGCTTTCGTCAAACCCCATCTTCACGAGGCAAGGGAGTTAAAACTGACTAAAAGCCCAGTGTGCACTCCTGCCGAACTTTGCTGGAATTTCTTGGCTCGATCGTAATGCTACTAGTGACCAAACAGATTCAACCTCTCACTTGCATTTGCTTCAAACAAAATGGCGGCGCTCAGGTCAAGACGACCTGATCGATATTTCAAATCTATATTGGGTCTCACTTTGCGAAGTGTGCTCCGAATCAATATTTGACCCTGATTTTGGCTATGAAAGTATAATAGCGGAAGGAAATATTCCATATGTTTACACATTTTATATATTTAAGTGTCATTTAGAAGTCCCGTTTTCAAAATACTTTTATGATATATTTCGGATAGGATAAAATGTAATAATAATTATATATGATATACCAGATTCCGCCTTTATTGTTTCAACCGGAATATGAGCCAACATCTTTTCAATGCTTTATCAATAAGCCAGTAGGTGTTTCTATCGCCCGTCCAAGGAGGTCGTCATCGGCGGGACGTCTGAGTAAGGACAATACTGGCTCGGGTCAGCTTTTAGAGAAGCGTTAAACATTGTTGCTTGAATCCGCGTCGGTAAGGTTTTATTTTCGTTAAATGACACTCGATCGCACAGTAAAATTTTAGGAGAAGTGCTTTTGACGTTGATTTACAACAGAAATGAGGTCAACTATGACAAGCCTAGAACTGTTAAAGTTACGAATTGATACCCGAGGCTAGGCGTGCACTAAATAATTATTTTAGTGTGCGACATGTCTACGATCTGATGGCGTTAACTTGCCCATACGTGCAGGGACACAGAATAAAGTCCTTTCATCTATTTATTTGTAGTTATTTATATCTGATGCTGACGGTGGTTATGCCAGATCGAACTGATCTCAATTATTTAAATCATACCCGCAATGTCCCGTTGAACTTCAAAATGAGCGAACGATATTACCACTGGGTTAGTCATTTACCATAAAATCCCGTTTATTCAAATGGACATATATTTTCCATAATCTATACCGTCATTATTTTGGCAAAATGTGTAAATTAAAACGTACTATGTAACCAAATTAACGGAGATAGTTCTAGTGTATTTTAAAAAAGATGCTTCGGATTTTAAGTACAGCATGCGAAGTCAGTCAATTCCGTTTCATCGCTATATTGTGGCATTGCCTAAAAGTCGGGCCGGGCCGGGCCAAGACGGGCCAAAGTGTTACTGGCTAGTTACTTCATTATCGGCGATCATACCTACATATAATTGATGCAACATACACACATGACATTAATGATCAATCACCAAACAAATAAGTGCACCATAAATAAGTAATTCGGAGTAAATCGCTTGAAAACCAGAAAGTGGAGCAGTGTGTAAGCGTCTCTGATCTTGGTAACATGTAAAAGAGCAATCGTTAAACGAAGTAAGATTTGAAACGTATCAAATACTTCTAGTTATCGTGATACAAATTTCCATCTGTGAGCATAGTGTTTATATTTATAGGAACTTTCTATATATAAGTAAATACCACTTTATAATGTCACTGATCGTCGTATTTAAAGCAGACACGTTGGTTAAAGTAGACCACTTCTCCCTATACTCTCAACAGTCACACAGGTGTTCGGTCCGACTTGGCCCGGGCTGTCAAAATCAACTTTAAACTCGCATATGTATCATCAAATGGATTCACATCTATAAACTAGTATAATATCTACCTAAACACCACTTTATAGCGTCTCAGATCACTGTACTTAAAGAAAACAAGGTGCTCAAAGTGAAGCATTTTTACTGTATTTTCTTTAGAAAATCTCTGTCAGAAGTGTTCGGTCCGACTTGGCCCGGGCTGTCAAAATCAACTTAAACCTCACAGATGTATCATCAAATGGATTCACATCTTTAGATTAGTATTACATCTGCCTATATACCACTTAATAGTGTCTCAGATCGCTGTACTTAAAGAAAACAAGGTGCTCAAAGTGAAGCCCTTTTCCCTCTACATTCTCAACATAGTCTCTATTAGAAGTGTTTTGCTTGTGTTGGGTCCGACTTGGCCCGGGCAGTCAAAATCAACTTAAACCTCACAGATGTATCATCAAATGGATTCACATCTTTAGATTAGTATTACATCTGCCTATATACCACTTTATAGTGTCTCAGATCGCTGTACTTAAAGAAAACAAGGGGCTCAAAGGAAAGCATTTTTACTGTATTTTCTTAAGAAAATCTATGTCAGAAGTGTTCGGTCCGACTTGGCCCGGGCTGTCAAAATCAACTTTAACCTCACAGATCTATCTTTAAATGTGCTTACACCTAAAGACTAGTGATATCTACCTAAATACCACTTTATAGTGTCTCAGAACGCTGTACTTAAAGAAAACAAGGGGCTCAAAGTGAAGCCCTTTTCCCTCTACATTCTCATCATAGTCTCTATCAGAAGTGTTTTGCTTGTGTTGGGTCCGACTTGGCCTAGGCGGTCAAAATCAACTTTAAACACACAGATGTATCTTTAAATGTATTTACATCTATAGATTAGTGTTATATCTACCTAAATATCACTTTTTTATGTCACGGTTCATCGTATTTAAAGAAAACAAGGTACTCAAAGTGAAGCATTTTTACTCTATTTTCTTAAGAAAATCTCTGTCAGAAGTGTTCGGTCCGACTTGGCCCGGGCTGTCAAAATCAACTTAAACCTCACAGATGTATCATCAAATGGATTCACATCTTTAGATTAGTATTATATCTACCTAAATACCACTTTTTTATGTCACGGTTCATCGTATTTAAAGAACACAAGGTACTCAAAGTGAAGAAATTTTACTGTATTGTCTTAAGAAAATCTATGTCAGAAGTGTTCGGTCCGACTTGGCCCGGGCTGTCAAAATCAACTTAAACCTCGCAGATGTATCGTTAAATGGATTCACATCTTAAGATTAGTATTATATCTACCTAAATACCACTTCATTATGTCACGGTACATCGTATTTAAAGAAAACAAGGTGCTCAAAATGAAGCATTTTTACTCTATTTTCTTAAGAAAATCTCTGTCAGAAGTATTCGGTCCGACTTGGCCCGGGCTGTCAAAATCAACTTTAACCTCACAGATCTATCTTTAAATGTGTTGACACCTATAGACTAGTGTTATATCCACCTAAATACCACTTTATAGTGTCTCAGAACGCTGTACTTAAAGAAAACAAGGTGCTCAAAGTGAAGCCCTTTTCCCTCTACATTCTCAACATAGTCTCTATCAGAAGTGTTTTGCTTGTGTTGGGTCCGATTTGGCCCGGGCGGTCAAAATCAACTTTAAACACACAGATGTATCATCAAATGTGTTTACGTCTATAGATTAGTGTTATATCTACCTATATACCACTTTATAATGTCACGGTACATCGTATTTAAAGAAAACAAGGGGCTCAAAGTGAAGCATTTTTACTGTATTTTCTTTAGAAAATCTCTGTCAGAAGTGTTCGGTCCGACTTGGCCCGGGCTGTCAAAATCAACTTAAACCTCGCAGATGTATCGTTAAATGGATTCACATCTTAAGATTAGTATTATATCTACCTAAATACCACTTCATTATGTCACGGTACATCGTATTTAAAGAAAACAAGGTGCTCAAAATGAAGCATTTTTACTCTATTTTCTTAAGAAAATCTCTGTCAGAAGTATTCGGTCCGACTTGGCCCGGGCTGTCAAAATCAACTTTAACCTCACAGATCTATCTTTAAATGTGTTGACACCTATAGACTAGTGTTATATCCACCTAAATACCACTTTATAGTGTCTCAGAACGCTGTACTTAAAGAAAACAAGGTGCTCAAAGTGAAGCCCTTTTCCCTCTACATTCTCAACATAGTCTCTATCAGAAGTGTTTTGCTTGTGTTGGGTCCGATTTGGCCCGGGCGGTCAAAATCAACTTTAAACACACAGATGTATCATCAAATGTGTTTACGTCTATAGATTAGTGTTATATCTACCTATATACCACTTTATAATGTCACGGTACATCGTATTTAAAGAAAACAAGGGGCTCAAAGTGAAGCATTTCTACTGTATTTTCTTAAGAAAATCTCTGTCAGAAGTGTTCGGTCCGACTTGGCCCGGGCTGTCAAAATCAACTTAAACCTCACAGATGTATCATCAAATGGATTCACGTCTTTAGATTAGTATTATATCTACCTAAATACCACTTTTTTATGTCACGGTTCATCGTATTTAAAGAAAACAAGGTACTCAAAGTGAAGAAATTTTACTGTATTTTCTTAAGAAAATCTATGTCAGAAGTGTTCGGTCCGACTTGGCCCGGGCTGTCAAAATCAACTCAAACCTCACAGATGTATCATCAAATGGATTCACGTCTTTAGATTAGTATTATATCTACCTAAATACCACTTTTTTATGTCACGGTTCATCGTATTTAAAGAAAACAAGGTACTCAAAGTGAAGAAATTTTACTGTATTTTCTTAAGAAAATCTATGTCAGAAGTGTTCGGTCCGACTTGGCCCGGGCTGTCAAAATCAACTCAAACCTCACAGATGTATCATCAAATGGATTCACGTCTTTAGATTAGTATTATATCTACCTAAATACCACTTTTTTATGTCACGGTTCATCGTATTTAAAGAACACAAGGTACTCAAAGTGAAGAAATGTTACTGTATTTTCTTAAGAAAATCTATGTCAGAAGTGTTCGGTCCGACTTGGCCCGGGCTGTCAAAATCAACTTAAACCTCGCAGATGTATCGTTAAATGGATTCACATCTTAAGATTAGTATTATATCTACCTAAATACCACTTCATTATGTCACGGTACATCGTATTTAAAGAAAACAAGGTGCTCAAAGTGAAGCATTTTTACTCTATTTTCTTAAGAAAATCTCTGTCAGAAGTATTCGGTCCGACTTGGCCCGGGCTGTCAAAATCAACTTTAACCTCACAGATGTATCATCAAATGGATTCACGTCTTTAGATTAGTATTATATCTACCTAAATACCACTTTTTTATGTCACGGTTCATCGTATTTAAAGAACACAAGGTACTCAAAGTGAAGAAATGTTACTGTATTTTCTTAAGAAAATCTATGTCAGAAGTGTTCGGTCCGACTTGGCCCGGGCTGTCAAAATCAACTTAAACCTCGCAGATGTATCGT